TAATGTTTATAGTAATATTATGAATATGATTAATAACATTTAGGCCTGAAGGTTTTGTTAAGCCATGGAGAGGGAGGTAGAGATAGTTGTGGAGCCTTACGTCACCGGACAGTGCTGACTGTATATTTTATAATGCTTATCCATTTAATGAAATTTATTTCAGATGACTGGCCGCAAAGGCCGTGTGGTAAGCAACGACGATGGAAGCATCACCTATGAATCTCGCTCAGAGTTGGACGTTCCTGTAGAAATCCTCAATCTGACAGAAAAGCAAAGATTTATGGATGGAGATAAGGTAAAAAAAAAACAGTAAATGACTAGATGACTTAAAGTGACAATGTTTTTAATACGAACTTTGTTGCTTTCAGAATATAGCCATCATCTCTGAAGCTGCCAGCTCAGGTATATCTCTGCAAGCTGACCGCCGTGTACAAAACCAGCGCCGGAGAGTGCACATGACACTGGAGCTGCCATGGAGTGCAGATCGAGCTATACAGCAGTTTGGTAAGTAAAATCATTGGTAGCCATTGGTAGATTAAGTGGTCTATGGTAGCCAAAATTCATATTAGTCAAGTTAGTATTTTGTTTATTATGAAGATTCTATATTGCCAACACGTGAGAGAAGGCCCGAGTGAGTTTTGTTATTACAGCTAAATTCTCTTTTGTGTATTTCTAGCAAGAACACTCATGAGTTTATGGTCAGATCCTTGGCGAGCACCATGAATTTCCAGTTTTTATTGACTGACTAATGCTTGTGACATCTTAATTCCACCAAGAATTTTTTAAATATATAGTCATCACAGGCCTCGGGTTACATTTAGTAACTATTGTTGCGCTGCAATTGCACTGACGTATTTAGCAGTAGCTAAATAGCTTAATTGACAGCTCGATTGGTGAAATAAAACAACTAATTTAGGCAGCTGAGTGGTTCAAACAGCAGAAGGTAGCATAAACATATACTGTTTGCGCAATTATTAGGCAAGTTGGTATTTTGACCATGTCATGTTTTTATGCATATTCTCGAACTCCAAGCTGTATAAATTTGAATTGCTATTGAATTTAAGCATATCAGGAGATCTGTATTTGTCTAATGAGAGCGGGTGTGGCCTAAGGAGAACACCCTATGTCAAGGTGTGTAGAATTATTAGGCATCTTTTCCTTAGGCAAAATAGGCCAAAAAAGAGATTTAACAGACTCTAAAAAGTTCTTTTTTTTTTTTTTATGTAAAAAGTCTTTTAGAGGGCTGCAGCACTCTTGAAATTGTAAAGACAGTGGGGCCTGGTCATAGAAACCTCAAATAGTCAACAGTGTTGCAAGAAATGTGTTGAGAAAGACACAAATTAACTCCAAGAGATTTGAGAAGAATCAAACCTGAAGATACCCATTATCCTTCAGCACTGTCATATTTCAGAACTGCCACCTACCTGGAGTTCCCAGAAGTAGAAGGTGTTCAGTGCTCTGAGACATGACCAAGGTGAAGCTGAAACCTAACACCACTGAACAAGAAACATAAGCTGAAACGTCAACACGGGGCCAAGAAATATCTGAAGACAGATTTTTAAAAAAGCTTTTATGGACGAGAGAGTGACTCTTGATGGACCAGATGGATGGACCCGTGGCTGGATCAGTAATGGGCACAGAGCTCCTTTGACTCGGACGCCAGCAAGATGGAGGTGTGGGGTACTGGTATGGGCTGGTATTATTAAAGATGGGCTTGTTGGACCTTTTCACTTTGCAGATGGACTCAAAATGAACTACAAAACCTACTGCCAATTTTAGAAGACACTTTCTTCAAGCAGTGGTACATGAAAATGTTATCTTTCAAGAGGACGATGACTTTTACGCAAGACAATGGTCCATTGCATGCATTGAAGTACTCCACTGCGTGGCTAGCCAGTAACGGCCTTAAAGATGATTTAAAACAAAAACAAAAAAAAATGACATGGCTCCCTTCCTCATCTGACCTAAACCCTATTGAGAACTTATGGGTCCTTCTTAAACTAGAGATTTACATTGTTGAAGGAAAACGGTCCTCCTCTCTGAACAGTGTCTGGAGGCTGTGGTTGCTGCTGCACAAAAAGTTGCAACAAATCAAGAAAGAGACAGACTCCATGAATGGGAGGTTTATGACCATTATTGACAAGAAGGGTGGCTATATTGGTAATTGGAGTTATTTACTATTCTGACAGATGAAAATAAACAAGTGAGAATAGAAAATGTTCATCTTTCATTTAGGTACATAATAATTCTTCACATTAATAGCCCAATAATTGTGCACATATAGATTTTCTCCTAAGAAAGCCAAAACTTCAGTTTTACTTTCTTAACAAGCACAATCAGAGATAGCAGCTTGGCCCCCATGAGGCATCGGTGGAGGCAGTTCATCACCACAGAAGCCAGCTTATGAGGAACCCAGCCCATATTACATGATCATTATATCCACAGTGCAATGTGTCTAGCTTTACAGTGCCCATGAACATTTGTGTGATATTGGTCACACATGAGAATGTCTGTGTTTACTAGCGTGTAACGAAAATGTAATTTTTTTTCATGAGTTCCGTATATGTTAGTTTTGTGACTGTAGATCAGTGTGTTGTGTATCACCAGAAAAAGAAGAAATGGAAATTATTTTCATTCCAATTAGAATTTTAATGGCATACACTGAAAGAGAAAGGAACTGTTGTAATTAGTGATTATCACAAACTATTAATATTTTACTGAATAAATGCATAGAATTATAAATAGAGAGATTTTGAGACCACTCCGTTGCTCTATCTCCATATCTAACATCGGGCAATGGCAGAATGTTCAGAATGTAACAACATCCAACACGAAGGCAAGAAGGTTCAAAAATAGCCTAGTTGGAAAACGTTGTCAATTAATTAGCTGCGTAAGAAAACCAGGTAAGTTTGGGGTTGTTACGGACAATTAAGAATGCGAACATACACGCTGAGCGAATTTTGGAATGAAGGAGCTATAGAGTTTGCATTTTTATCGAGGCTCCTTAGTTTGTTTGCTGTATGATTGTTCTAAAATCTAAAATCAATCGGCAGATGGCGGGCGGGTGTGGTTTTGAAAACCTTCGGTGCAAAATGGATAGCGGGCGGATGATGAGTTTTGTGTCGCGGTTGCGGATGAAAAAATAGCCCATCCGCGCATCTCTAGTGGACAGACACACACACACACAGGGTGAATACAAAACCTGGTCAACCCTTCGGGGACAAGGTAATAAACCTCAAACTTGAATATTAAACATTTTGGATTGACCAAGAGCACTGTTGTTGTTCATTTATAAAATTAATCCTCATAAATACAGCTTGCTAACAATTTAAACATCAAAAATACAAAAATTACCATCTGTCACACACTCCTCTAAGCTTAATGAAACCTGACCCATAGAGCTCGGAATTGTGACATTAAATTTTCTATTGGCCTAATGTTAAACCAGTTGAGATTTTAAGATGCTAAATACTAAACTTGGTGTTCATTTGAAAAAAAATTTGATATTCCTTCTTGAACTCTGTGGGAAGAATGGGGAAAATTATCTATCTTTGAGCAAGGAGCTGCATTAAAAGGAAACTAACTGAATTATGATTAGACAAAATAATCATAATGGAATAACGCCATAGGGAATGAATCCTGATGCATTGTTTTTATTGCCCAGCCTTCTTTCAAACCTTCCTCTAAATTTTCTATGTTTTTCTTTTCAGGGCGGACTCATAGATCAAACCAAGTAACAGCTCCTGAATACGTTTTCCTTATATCAGAACTCGCTGGAGAGCAGAGATTTGCATCTATCGTTGCCAAAAGACTGGAAAGCTTGGTAGGGGCAAATTGGTTTCAGTTTTCAGTGAAGTATTCAAATGCAATTTTTTTTTAAATTCTAAAAATGTTTATTCATTAGGGTGCACTTACTCATGGAGATAGAAGAGCAACAGAAACCAGAGACCTCAGCAGATTTAATTTTGATAACAAGGTTGGCACTTCTGACCCTGTTTATTGTTTGTCCTAAATATTATTCCATTGTCATTATCATTTTGATAACAGTATGGCAGAAATGCACTGGAGATTGTGATGAAGTCAATTGTGAAGCTTGATGCTCCATTGGTGTCTCCCCCTGCAGAGTTTAAAGGGGATTTCTTTAAAGGTACAACTCACTGACTAATTTTTTTTAGATGTGTTTTAAATTTGTTTCCTTTTCAAACCAATTTATTCAAACGTTTGTATTTTTCCTCAAGAAATTCAGAGTGGTTTAATTGGCGTGGGTCTAATAAGTCTAGAGGACAAGTCTGGAGGTTTATCTCTTGACAAAGGTAAGAACTTGATAATTTTGATACATGTATAAAGCAGTGATTTATATACTTCATTACAGACTACAACAACATTGGGAAGTTCCTGAATCGGATTTTAGGCATGGAAGTTCAGCAGCAAAATGCATTGTTCCAATATTTCTCAGATACTCTGGCAGCTGTTATTCAGGAAGCCAAGAAGAATGGGAGATATGACATGGGTATTCTTGGTAAGTGTCTCACATTGATTAAACTGAATTTAGTTTTTGTGTTTATAAATCTCAATTTTAATTTGCAAATCTCTCATAGACCTTGGCTCCGGTGATGAGAAAGTTAAGAAGGTTGAATCCAAGAAGTTCTTAACACCAGGCTACACAACATCAGGACATGTTGAACTGTTCACTGTATGTGATGTCAACTTATGAAATGCTGAACTTTGAATTCTACTCATGCCTTCCTCTTTTCAGGTCAGCGTTGAAAGGGGCATGTCATGGGAAGATGCTACCCATGCATGGGCAGAACAAAGCGGACCAGATGATGGTTTTTATGTCCAGGTATAGAATTGGATAGATTATTTCTTCAAACATTTTTTCATGTTGGACTTAAATTGCATTTGTTTGTTTTTTTTCCAGACAAGAAACAACAAAAAAACTGCAATATTGGTCAAAGAAGTAAATCCTAAAAAGCGTTTGTTTCTGGTCTATAGACCAAACACTGGAAGACAACTAAAATTGGAATCTTATGTCGAAATTAAGAAAAAGTTCAAAAAGGTAATTGCTTTCTGTGAGGGAGGTCAAGCGTCTTTTTTCTTTTCTGACACATATTTGTAATTTTAGGTTTTGTCGGAAGAAGCCAAACAGCATTGGTCAGATCAATACAGGTCGTCAGCACAAATCTGTTCTCATGCTTATTGGTATGTACTTGCTAGTTTCTAAAGATTGCTGCAATAATCTTTTATGTGTAATATTTATTTCTGCATTTTAAACAGGCGGGGGAACTGTAAGAAGGCATCAATGGGTCTCCAGTGTGAGGTGGGTCTCCGGTGTAGGACATACTACGTACTGTGTGGATCTGTTCTCAGTGTTTGGAATGAACTAGAGGAAGTGCTCACCCCAGTCAGTGGAACCAACGTAAAAGTGCAGATTGTTCGTCTCAGAACAGTAGATGGCCAGAGAATAGTTGGTGAGGGCATCATTTCAGTATCTATAGTGTACATGGTATCAATTTGCCTGCATTTTACCATATCCCACTTTTTCAGGACTGTTAATTCCAGCAAACTGTGTCTCTCCACTCATCAATAAGCTCTCTACATCAGATCAGAGCCAGCAGATTGCTGTGCAGGAACAGCAGAAACGACAACAGCTCCACCCTCAAAGTTTTAGTCATGTACTTAACCTCTAGTATGGGTTAGTTAAGGTTACTGGGTAGTCTTAAGTTTGCCCCATTCAGGTGGGACTTTAAGTCTTTTTTTGTCTGCAGGCTTTGGGGCCACTCTTCCTTGAATAGAACTTCTAGCAGCTGTTTGTGCAACAGTTGATGGTACAAAAGTGTCCCCCGCCCCATTTTAAAAAGTTTATTTCCACTCAGTTTTTCATGGGTGATGTATTATCCTCTGATATTCAGAGTGTAACATGTGAGTCATTGTAACATAATAACTAAACAATTTAAACTCAGAAGGCATGTCTGCTTGTGGCAGTTTAGTTATCTGCTTTTCATGGTTGCTTTATGAATGTTTTATTTAAACATAGTATATTGACACAAGGCAGAGTTCAACACAAACATGTCAAATTCAGTGTTTTGTGTATTCCCATTGAGAAATGTTTTGCTTTATAACTGGTCCACTAGTAGTATAGTTTCACTTCTGACCACTCAGCTTTTTAGACAGTTATTTTTAGTCATTTAACGTTTAATGTAAAATAGCAAATGGGTTTGATGAAATAAGTTGTACTAACTAGAGATAAGCCTCAGGCTTTTGGAAATTGTATAATTTGCTTTCAGTACATTAAATGCATCTGTAAATACAAATGACACCCTTGAATAAGAAATTTATTGCAAAAGCCAGTCAAATGTAGCTTTTAAACATAAACTAAGGGAATTTGTCTGATTGAACTGCTAATTAGAGTATTTCACAAAATGTCTTTAGTTTCATTGACGTCTGGAAAAGAAACTTGCAAAGAGTTTTATGATTTATTTTTCCCCCACACAGAACTACTCAACATATCCATAAATGTGACATTATTAACAAATTCCATTAGTTTGATTAGAATAAATTTTCATCATAGACAGGTTCTGTAGCATACCTTAGTTTATCAGTATTCAAACTATGTGTATGGCATTTCTAACCACATTTTAACACAAGCACAATTAATGTGCTAGAGCTGCTTTCAGTATCCCAAATGGCATGACAGACGGGCAACTCTCATAGATCAATGACCACTATGTAGAAGCTTTTTGAGCTTCCTTTTTGTCATCACGCAGATTCTCCTGTTCATTTGTTCCAAAACCGTATTTGTTGACCTGCACTGAGTGCAACAATGAATAAAGCTTGGTATTCTCATTAAGATTGTTATTTTTTCAATTACATATAAAGGCTGCAAATAGCCGCGCAAGTCACTTCACTCGTTTCACGTTATACTCTTTGAAGACTTATTTTTATTTGGCCAGGAAAGTCCCTGTCATTGTCTGGGCACTCCAGCTTAGAAGAGACTTTTAAGATTTAGATTTTATTTAAGGGCCTACATAATTAGGTGTTCTGGATAACCATTTAGTAAACTTCAACGATTCAAATAAAAATGTACTTTAATTTGTGTTTAAGTAAGCACTATCCGGATATAATTAATTAATATAGGTGATTTACGTATTTGAAATATTTTTTGTGATATCCCGCAATGGATCCCGTTTAAAGGACTGTGGGTGTCAATACAAAGTGACGGCCATATTTGCCGGTGCCGCTGTAGTAAACAAAAAGTGAGAGACAGACGCTTCACTGAATTTCGGGTCATTTTTATTTCTTTAATTTACAATGTCTTTGGGAATGTCTCACAAACCCAATGTCCATCATCATATACCGGGAACTTCTGGGACATCGGGTAAGGTTAAAATGTAGTGTAAATTCAAAGTATCTGTGTGTTTAATCGAGTGTTAAATTCGGGGTCTCGGAGAATACCTGGAGAAAGACCGAGTCGGTAGTTTTTTGTCCAGTTATATAGGGTCAGATCCTGGAAGCTAGGCTAATTCATATCCGCCATTATTACTAATGTAAAACAGACACCCTCGTGAAATTTCTTAGCTGACAGGATTGAGAAATTTAAAAATGACGCTTTGTAGACGAACACTGGCGTGGTCCGGTCTCACTTTGCCGCTGGGTGGGTGCGAGACACGGTGACAAAAATGTATCACTTGAGTCTTGAGCCAGCCTTGTTCCGCGTCCTCCATGATGCTCCGACCGAGGAGCTGCTGATTGATCTGCCCTGGATTTTATGAAGCTTTGAGGACACCTATTGGACAAACTTTGGCATTGCACGTTGACTGGCATATGTAATACTATAATGATATTTAAGAAAAATACGTACATAGGACATAAAATAACGTTTTCTGTAGATATTGGAGTAGTTGCTGTAGTAATATGTGCAAAGCCAGCTCACTTCAATTTAGTGAATGGGGTCTACCAACTTAAAAGTTATTTTATTTTTCTCAACAGTTGCAAACCTTACATCTACTTCTGCAGCAAATCTGGCCACATTACAGTCTTATAGGCCTCTCCTGAGTGATTATGGTCCTCCTACTCTTGGATTCCCACAGGTACTTCCAGGTTGACAATAATATTTATATTTTTTCTTCAACATTTTGTGATTTTTGTGAATTTTATTTTCTTTAAGGGTACCACTGGTGGCCAAGTGCCTCAAAACAAATACGCAGAGCTGCTGGCCATCATTGAGGAGCTTGGTAAGGAGATCAGGCCTACATATGCTGGGAGCAAAAGTGCAATGGAAAGACTGAAAAGAGGTAAATTCTCAGACTATGTTACAATACTGCACTTTGTAATAGGAAAAACACATTTTAAGATAGAGTTTGTGTTTTGAAGGTATAATCCACGCCAGGGGCCTGGTGCGAGAATGTTTGGCTGAGACAGAAAGGAATGCCCGGTCTTAACCTAAACACACTTGGCTTCATCAAATAATTGCATGACATTTTCTTTGTGAAAAAGTGAAGTAAGAAGGAACCAGAAGAATGAAAGCAACAGATAAAAAAAGAAAAACTCCTTAGAAAAGTCCACGCCCTATATTTTTCTGAAGTGTCATTTATGTTAAGTTGAATTTCTGTGTGATTATTTAGTTTTTTTGGGGAGCCCTGGTTCCAACTTTTTGTACTTCATTAATGCATGTATTGGGGCCTGGGGGGAATTACTGCTGCATGGTTGTATTAGGGGTAGATGGAAATTACCATTTTATAGTATTTGATCATTTTTCGGGTCACATGACTGAATGTCAAATGTGCCAAACATTGTGATTTATTTTGTGGTAACGATTTTGGTAAAAATGAGAAAAATGAAAATGCTACTTGCATCTTTGTATGTATTTATTACTGGCGTGATGATTAAATTGTATTTTCAATACAGTTGTCATTGTCTATATGTCTAGAGATATTGGCAAGGTAAGTTTCTACCGTACTGGTAAATTAAATGTAAATGTAGTTCACATAAAACAAAACTGTATCCAGTCCCAACACAGTGTTATTGCAAATTGACCAATGGCGCAGCGGCTGTAGGCGGCACAATAGCTCTCCTTCACTGCGCTGCTGCAGCCAACCAGAGAGCAACTACTCAGAAATATGGATGACAGAAAGACACAAATACACGGGTAGGCTCATATTTAGTTATACTGATGGCATTGTTCATAGGAAAGCATATTATATAAAGATGTAGCGTTAGTTTTCTTAGCTAGGTGTGTGCAACGTTAATATTTAGCTACCATAACTGCTTTTGATTTGGTAAGAATCATGCTAATTTAGCTAACGTTTAGAGGCTAACTGCTGGTTGGGTTTAATGTACTGTAGTTTGTTTTGATAATTTTTAGCTTCACGTGTAGTTCAGTGGCACCAGTAAACCTGGGCCCAGTTGGAGAGGATGGGCATAACATGACAGAGCCAAGTTATTGGTTGTGATGCAGAGACGGTGAACGTTAGCTTACTAAACTCTCTGGATTGAAATTGATTGAAGATTGCTGGTTTAGGTAATGCTGCTTATAATAGCTGAAACAGGCTATATGCTACATACTCCTGTGCAGCAAATTGCCAGTTGGATAAACAATGGGCCACCAACATGTCAATTATAAGTAGTTAATATATGAGCTGATTACTTTTACTAACACATAATCACCCCCGTTACACATTTTGCCCAGTTCAGGGAGGGTAGCAGAAAATCATAGCTTTCACAGTGTAATTTTCTACATTCACTACCTTTATTTTCCTAAGGTGCAATTTCATGAAGATGTCACTTTTTATTTACATGTGAGAGTCCACACATCAGTATGACTCTAGACCTACCTGTCACTCAGCGCATCATGAGGATGAGGGGCTGCCCATGTCTGTGTTTGAGCATAGAACAGCTCTCAATTATAATATTTAATCTTAAACAAAAAAGTGTAATGAATAATGTATAACACATGCTTTTAATTGTTCTGTTTAGCTCTCCACCAGGCCTTATCTGTATGGAGTCATAAACATGTCCACTGATGATAGTATCTCAGAGGATGTGTCCAGTTCGGGAGCTTTGAGCCACTGCCCTGCTAGTGCAGATGGGGATGGCGGTAAAGAGAGTGAGACTTCATTGGTGTCTTCTGAAGGGACCTCAGCTCCTGGGCTCTCCGTCTCTGAGGACAGACTCACAGCCTCCCATACAACTGGAGGGACTGTGCAGTGCCAACCCATGGATACACCAGCACTCCAAAACATCAGGTGCACTAGTTAAAACCACAGTACATAATAGTGCATGTGCTCTTTTATTGTTTTTGTGTTTCTCATTATTCTTAAATGAAGTTGTAGTTATTGAAACCCAGGCCCTCTTACACAAACTCATTCTCTCTATTTAAGCCCTATTGCATGGGTTCCAACTTGAAAAAAAGGCGTGAAATAAACTTAATGTTTAAAATGAACACCCAGGTCTGCAATAACAAAATAACTATAATAATAATAAAAATAATAAGATGTAATCTTGCTGCTCAACTTGAATTAGATTTAGCTTAATAAACCCTATAATGAATTATGCAAACTGTATTTTATTTTACTACATTTAGGGACATTTGTCTGAGCCCTGAAGTATTTGGACATGGGAAGAATCTTCCCTTTATAAATCCGAGCTCTATCGAGACATTAAGAGCCCTGGTGCAGGAGATACGAAGCAGTGGAGAGACTAATCCTGAGATCTGGAAGGATTGCGAGGTGCCCTAACAAAAAATATTTATTCCTCTATTTTGCTGCAGATTTTGTACATTGTCTTTTTTATCAGATTTGTAGCAGGTGAAATGCACATTGCAATGATGTACTTATATACTATGATTTTTGCATTTTCTCAACAGGGACGGTGGTTACATCTATTTCAGCTTGTTGAAAAGCAATACCAAGAGCAAATACTTGCTCAGCAAGAACAATACCAGTGCCAAATTCAGGTAAGCCTACAATGCTGCAACTTCATCAGAAAACTGATACTAACTGATGTATACATGAAAATTTTTTTGTTACTGGTTTTCAGTTAATTCAGGATGAAATTAAAGCTCTTGTTCAAATCCAAAACCGCCAGGGTACTTTTCAGCCTCATAAAGACTTTTCTACAGTTTCTAAGGCTAACACAAGGGACCATGTACTGCCCCCAGTCAGTACTCACTGCTCAACTGGCAGTCTGGAGGTCGGAGAAGTCACAACAAACGAACCAGCTACCACAGTGCTCAGCAGTGGTTATGGGACTATGGCCCCATGGGAACCTGCTATTGAAATTTCTATGTCTTCTTCCAATGTCAGTAAAAAGAAACTTCCCATGTCCCTAACCACTGAAGACAAGAACTTAAATGTGAATGTCAGTGGAAAATATTCAAGTGCACAGAAACCTGGACCCGGACTTGAGAGAGTGAGCCAACAAATTAACCAGCAGCTAACTTCTGGGTATGGTTTTAAAATGCATATAAATTCCAAAACTTTCAGCTTTCTCTTTTATTTTAATGCATATTTTTTTATGGTTTTAGCTCTAACCAGCAACTTACCTCCTGGGCACAGATGAACAAACTTAGGCCTAAAAGAAATAAGGCAGGGCTGTTGCCAATGATGACTGCAGAAAACGAATCCCATCAGCTAATCCAATTTAAGAGTACAGAGTCACTAGACCAGGTATAAAGTGAAAAGATGATCCAGAGGACTAGCATACCGATTTTGCCCCCTTTCCTCTAATGTGTCCATCTATTTTAGAATCAAACAGTTGGACTCTCATACGGCCTCAGGAGGAGTGATAGTCTGATTTCTGAGGCCTCAGGTAACCTATTGCTCGACAACCAGACACCAAATTTGCAATTCTGCAACACAATGTAGATTATTTTTATTACATACATTTGGCAATACACATTTCTTTCTTGATAGGTCTGACCTATTGGCGACTGCATGAAAATGATCTGTATCACCCTCTACCAGAGAGCTTCGACAGTGGTGTACACCTTTTAAAAGATACATCCATGGGTTCTGTAAGTTAAAACTGTGATATTTTCTTTGAAACAAGAATGTTTTTTACATTGACAAATTGTCATTTACTACAGTTGTTCAGTTCAGTTAAAAATAAAATAAACACACTCGTTCTGTGTTTGCACGTGCTCAGTGTAGACTTAAATATTCTTTCTCTTTCTTTAGATACCTTGTCAGCAGTCTCAACTGTCTCTAAAGGAGATTTACTGTAACAAACAAGAATCAGATTTCAAACGCGCAGACAGGGATGGTTCTTGTAAATCCGCCTCTTTATCTCCACAACCACAAGTATGTTAACAAGTCCAGTGGTGGTCTTTGTACCAAGTAAAGGTTCTAAGTCAAAGTTACTTTTTTGTGATTTAGGTGTTGACCTTGGACCGCACTGTTACCACACGACACTCGGATCATACCTCTGGCTTCACATCCCCCTCTCATTTCAGCAGCCCTTCTTTCTCTACACCGTCTAATCCTGGCCCCAGAGCTGAAACCCCCCTAACCCCAGACAGTCATAATCAAGTGGAGGTGGACTGTACTTCTGATGCCTCCAGTGTTTGTGCAGCTCGACATATAAATCTGAAGATGCATGACCAATGGGCTCTTTTTCCCCTGCCTGCCCCACACAATTCCTTTCAGCACCCAGCTCCTGTCCAGAGTGAACCATCAGCTCAGACAGAGGGATCCAGTTCAGTTGAGGATCCTGTTGTCCTTTCGTTGTGAGTATTGGAACCCCACATATTGGCAGTGACTTTTCTAGTATGCACAAATTGGTGGTTTTCAGATTCTAAAATGCAATGATGTCATACTGCCAGACAGCATTAACTGTAGCTGCCCCCCATTTGTATTAAATTTTGTATTGGCCTATAGAGTGCTACGATGTCATGTGAACCCCATCTTAAGTCAATCAATGGCTTGACACATGACTGGCAATATATGTTTCTATTTGAAGAATTATACAAATTTTCAGCTTTTGTCCCTCTAGGCTAAGACAGAACCTGAGAGAGAAACACTCGAGACATGTGGCAGATCTTAAAGCCTACTATGAAGCTGAGATCCAAAATCTTTTAGATAAACTTAGACTCAAAGATCTACCCAAGGACATTGAAAAAAGCAACCAGGCACTCTCTGAAAGGTGTGTCAAATATCTTCACTGAATATTCATTCAAGTCATTACAACATTTTAGTGTTTTTATCAATTGTGATTTTACCGTTACCCACTCTGATAGATGCCAGCATTTGGAGAAGGCATTGGCTGAGGCAATAAGTCGCATTCAAGAACTTGAGACAAATAACAGTTCCCTGGAGAAAAAAATTGTATGTAATTTTTTAAGACCAATTATTGTTTTGTAGGCCTTTGTACTACTTGTACATTTCCTATCAATTTTCCTTTTTCGTCACTCCTGCAGACTGAATGGTCTGAGCGGTACGCTGTTGCTGGTGCCACTGTGAAGTCTTTGCAGAAGAGGCTGGAGGAAAACAAGCGCTCAGCCAAAGAGAGAGACACAATAGCAGCCAAACTGAAGAGCCAAGTAAAGCAGCTGGAAGAGGCAGCACAGAAGGCAGAAAGAGAGGCAGATGAAAGTAAGACAAAGAGAGAGAGGGAGTACAAGATGCTTCAAGATGTGAGTGTCAAAGCAACACAAAAAATATAATACAGTTTCTCTGGTACACTGAATAACAGTTCTTTAAACATTCACATCTCTTAGCTTCTTGTAGAATATGATTCTCTGGTGAAAAGGCATGAGGGCCTGAAGGTACTTCATAATGATTGCATAATTATCTCTTAACCTTAATCTTAATCTTCAATAATTAATATATGTTTTCTTCTACTTGTTCATTATACGTAGAGCAACCTGGCCTCAACAGAGAACAAACTTGTTGATGCTCATGGGCAGATAACCGAACTAAAGAGGTGAGATAATGAAATGAAATGCTTTAATTTGGGAGGTGTTCCAGGCATGTCCCACTGGGAAGAGGCCCTGGGGAAGACCCAGGACACGCTGGAGGGTCTGTCTTTCGGCTGGCCTGGGAACACCTCGGGGTCCCCCCGGAGGAGCTGGCGGAAGTGTCCGGGGTGAAGGAAGTCTGGGAGTCTCTGCTTAGACTGCTAGACTGGATAAGCGGAAGAAAATGGATAGATGGATGCTTTGAATCTGTGCTCATTGTCTTTCTTTCAATTAACTAGAATCCTTTCTAAGATGGAGTCACAGGTGAAACAACTTGACCATGAGAACCAGGCTAGAGCCCGTTATTCTTTGCACAATAACACACTACCCTCTGGAGCGGGGTATGCAAGAAACCAGTACTTCTGTGAAGTTTGTTGAAAAAATATTTATCGCTGACCTTTGCCTTTTGTGTATTCAGTCTATTCCACCACCCTGATCTGCTTCTGTCACCAACTAAAAGGAACGCTCAGCCAGATGTCATACACACTTTCTCCCTTTCACCAACTGAACAGATGAATGATGGCATACAGTCACTTGTAACACCACAATCATCAAAATCTCCATACAAGAAGTGTGATCATTTATCAGGAAATGAGAGTCCTTTTGACATTACAACTGGTGGAAGATGGAAGTAAGTATTAGCATTACTTTATTTAACATAACTTCAATCAAACTAAAATCATTACAATGTTTTATACTAGCTTTCTTATCAATATATTAACATTTTACTTTCTGAAATAGCCCAAATTGTGAGCCACCTCAGCCTCAGTTGAGACTTCAAGGCGTTTCCCGAAAGCCAGGCTCAGGTTTTATTACTCCTGTGATGAGAGCCTTAATTGAACTGGAGGAGACCCGAGCCACTCAAAGTCGTGCACCTTGTAAGAAATGCAAAGAAAAAAAACACTGAAAAACATTCATGCATCAAACATGTTTTTTACAGGGGTGGACAATTCAAAGTCCACAGTGGGATTTATGGAGCGAAGACTCAAAGTGCCAATAGAAGAGCAAGACATTTTTCAGGATTTGGCTAAACCTCAGAGACAAATGGAGAAAGACAGAGTCCGAGCTCTTCAGAGGAGTCTGTCTCCAGAGAGCCATAGGTCATCCTCTTTGCCTCCTCCAGCTCAACGCAACATGCCACTCCCAAATACACCCTGTATGTATTTCATTGAACACTGCTCCTAAAACTTTACTGAAACCTGATGATAACAAACTGAAAATATTTTTTACCATTTCACAATTTTTCTTATAGCAAAAAGAGAGACTCTACTTATGCCATTGTCTGCAAAATCCAGTCCAAAACGCTGCCCTACTGAAAACTTCTCTACTGCTTTTGGTCACTTGATGCCCAGAGAGGAACATTTGCAGCACAGGTAAACTCTCAAATATGTAACAGTTAATATTATTGTTTTCACATTTAGTCAATTACAACTTACAAAAACATTACTAGAAGTTATTTCCTACCCTTACCATATTCCTACCCTTAAATAGTGGATTTATTATCCATTATATAAAGGGAATGCTCTTATGTGTTTGTTTATTTAAATCCTGGCAGTGTCTTTTTGGTTATGCCCTGGTGTTGCTGATGCTTCCTGGTTAGGATGTCCTTGAAAAATAGATGTATATCTTAACAATAGGATTTTCCTGGATGAAAAATTACCAAATAAATGGATTGACAAGAAACTTGATGGTTGCTGGATTACTGTTTACTGATTATTGTTATTTTTTGTTCTAACAGTCCCAGGAAAGGGCTTCTCTTCCCCTCACCAGATACTAATCAAGGTAAAAGAAATACTTTACAATATAAAATGTTACTTCCACTTAAGAAATTCTTTTTTGATTAATATTTATTTTTTAATTTTTTTATATTTGTCTCTAAATGTTGTGCTTATTAGGACAGCATCTTTCAAGTTTCCCAGGTAATGTGCAGTCTCCTGAAGTAAACACCCAGCTGGACTGGGATGAGCGGCGGGATGAGAACACAGGATCAGTCCCTTTGGACAGACAGCTGTCCCTGTCTGAAGCTGAGAGGCTGTTTGATGAACTCACACAGGAGAAACTGCAGGTGGGAACCGTATAATGCTGTCTTTTTATTCCAACGTCAAACATGTTTTAAAATAAAACAACAAAAATTTGTCAAAAAAGGATCAGCCACATGATGAAAAATGCCAAGACATAATAACAAAAAGATTGTCTTTTGGGCAGATTGAGGCAGCATTGAGCCGGATGCCTGGAGCAGGCAGGCACAGCATACAAGCAAGGTTAGATGAGGTAAGAGTAGAATAGACGTTTAGGACTTAATTTTTATTACCATCCTTGTACCTCATGCTTGCCTGTGTAGGCTTCTGCCAATTAAAACTCTGCATGAATTCTGTAGGTGGCCTTGGAGAATCGTCTGGAGAGAATTAACCGGGAGCTGGGATCTCTTCGCATGACTCTGAAGAGATTCCATGTCCTTCGCTCTTCGGCCAACTTATAGCAATGGCACTTTTCAACATATGTAATATGGATGTGACAATTTAAAGATACAGTATGTAACTTTTTCACCAAAAAATAGACTAAAAGAAACCCACGTTTGTTTTCGTTTTTTTTGCATTTTGTTTTTTTTATTGCTCTGAAGTCTTACTGTAAGCGGGCTTGCCATCACCTCAAACCTCACTCTTGGCCTCGTTGGCCTGGGGGAGGGGCTCTTCCTGCTTGTTTCCATGGAAATGTGGGCCTTTTGGATATAATCTTCCACATTATGACATAACTTATCTCCATGAAGAATGCTTTCCAGAAAGTTACATACTGTTCCTTTAATGTCTTGGTTTTTTCAAAATTGAATGTCAATCTGTATATTAAGCCATTTTTATACATTTTACTCTGGGATTTTTTATGTTTAAAATATATTTTTGGAGTGTATTTTATATTGCCCTGAATTCAAATGTAACATATTTGTTTCTCTGGAATTTTAATAATAATTTGATATTTTCATGATAACACATTTCATAGCCATTTTATTGTAAAGTTCAAATGTTTTGGAACAATGTCACTGCCATTATGATTATGTCTTTTATGCTGTCACTGTTGTTGCATTTGACTTTTTTATTGTACAAATTCCACTGATTAGCCCATTTTATATTTTCGTTTTAAGCTAGTTGCTTTTATTGTTGTCTTTTATGTACATTGCATAAACATTCCTCAAGTGCTTTAATCTGCAAACAGCACATGCACTTTTCACATTACTATTTTGTTATTGATGCTTGTGCATGGACTACTTTGCATCTTTTGTAAAATAAGGTCAGTATTATTAACAGGACACACTTTAAATAGAACTATAATACTGTTATTGCACAGATGATGATAAACATGATGGTACTATTATATAACATTGTGCTGAATAAATATTCACTGTGCAGACGACGTTATATGCGTTTGAAGCGCACTCCTGTGGCTGACAGAGATCCACAGGGGGGCGCTGTTATTTCGTCTCAAATCAAGTGATCTGTTTAGTCCCAATGTCTTCATATCATCACTGACCGAACACCGGCCGCATCGGACGGTCACGGATCACGGAGAGGGGGAGCCATGTTGCGGTTTGTAGCGGGGCAGGCAGGCCGTCACACCGAGCTTTGAGCGCGGTGACAGTGGAGTGACAGCGCTCCATCTGTAGCAGTAGAATAGCGGGAAACCACGTCCAGCCAACTGATCGTTTCGGAGGTTTTTGACAAAAGCAGTCTGTTTCGAAACATTTACGGCCTGAAGAGATGCCAGATAAAACAAGTTGAACCAGGAGCCCTGACCGCGGGAAAAATAGCCGGTGGTCGCTGCAGGTGAGTTGATGTTGAACTGCTGGACATAACCAAGCTAGCAAACGCAGCCGAGTGCGCGCTGTCATGGATGTATAACAGTATTATTGCCATGCATAAGGCATGGTTGGGCATTACTTTATCATCCTCATCCTTGTGAGGAGTCGCAGCCTTTTATATTTATATATTTATATAAAAGGCTTTTTCTGCCATCTAGTCTTAAAGTATAAAATGGTCTTGCTCAATAGAAATACATCAGCTAACAAAGGTTGGAAAATACCAGAAACTACAAACATAATAATAATATAATAATAATAATAATAATAATAAGTAGTAGTAGTAGTAGTAGTAGTAGTAGTAGTAGTAGTAGTAGTAGTAGTGGTAGTAGTAGTAGTAGTAGTAGTAGTAGTAGTAATCTTCATTGGTATTCATTCATATTCATTATTATTAAATACTTGGGTGGAGCTTAAGTTTATTTGCTATGTTTTTGGCCTTTTTCTTCCATCCAAGCTTCATTAAGCATAAATTTATTATTGAGAGAAAATGTCTCCCCACAGGATCTGATTATCTGACCAAAATGATTAGGTTTGCTTTTAATGAATGTTGTTCGGAAGTAGCACTGCAGAAAGAATGAGTCATAGTATTGATTGCTGCTCCCCTCCTGGCTCCTTGCTGGCTTTATTTCCTCCTTTTCACTCCCCCTCCCCTTGTGCTTTGCCTGCTGTGTCTGGCCATCTTCTCAAGTCTCACAATTTATTTTATACAATTTTCTCATGTATGTCTGTCTTTGTCTTCCACTAAGTTTCCTTGTTTGCAGTTAAGACAGCCCAAGTTCAAGGTAGAAATAGCATGCCAGTGAGCCAAGAGATGCATACCCTTAATAGCCGAGCTCATTCTGGAAGAAGGAGGAGAAAGGAGGGAGGGGGGCTTGTCACGTCATAGAGTGTGTGAAATCTATTTTTAGCAGTGTAAACAGAGGAATTCCAGCCCACTTCGCATTCAGGCCAATGTGGTAGGAGGAGGCTAGAGACGCAGGAGTGAATGAATAGCACTTATAGTTCTATTATGCTGTCCGTGTCCCTGCGCTGTCACTAAACCACTAAACCACTTCGCCACTCAGACTCGGACTCTCAAAGTACAAAGACAAGCACATAAATAGACCAAACTACTATACACAGTCTACCACTTTCTTTTTCTCACTCTGTTACTCACTTACTTGTCTTTTTAGTTGGCATGCCTTTGTTTTAAATTTTGATTCATATGCATCTTTAACAGACAGGACACTCAACACTTTGTCTAATTAACAATATGTTGTTTTTGTTAAGGTCCAGTGATGCGTTGTGTGCACATTAAACATTTACAAATTATGCATGGCTATGGATTTCTGTTGCCCCCATTGCTACTCTGCTTCAGTGTTATTTAAACGTAATTGATCTGAATCAGTTTGGAGCATAATTAAAAGCAAAATTCAGTCCACATAGTGTCCAGGAGTATACATTTTGAAATTAGAAATGGATTTGTGTGGTTGTAGAAAGCAGAGACTTGCCTTTAAGATTGTAATTGTTATTTGTAATTTACTGAGTACTTAAATATAAATATCTGAAACAGTGACACAGTTGTACATTTATGGTTATATTATGTACTCTGTTGATCATAAAGCTGAAATACGTTATTATATCAATAATGGATTTGCAGAGTTTCTGATAGCAATAATAATTGATTTCAACTATATTAAGACAAATTTTTGGAATATATCTCAAAATGAAATTGATCAGTGGGCAACAGTGTAACCAATATGTTTCAGTTACAGTTATGTTTACTAGAATACCTTTTTCCGTTTCGCATTTGTCTCGCCTTTGGATTAAAAAAAAAAAAAAACTCAACAAAATAGATTCATTTGAGAGGCCTCCCCCATAACCTCACTGGTATCCCGCTGCTGTTGCCTTAACACCCCCATCACATTGCCCCTGGCCCCCACCCTTTGCAGCCCAGAGCTAAAAATAGACTGTCCTTTCTCATCATGGAGTGTTCACGTCAGGACCTGGTTCACTCTCATTTGCTACCCACGCCTCTCTGGCAGCTGGAAACATACAATAAAGCTGTTATTACTGTATTGACAGGCTTTGCAAATAGAATAACCCTGCTGCCACTCATACTGAATGAGGAAGGCAGTCTCTCACAATAGAAAGCAGAACATGCCAAAACAGATGTGTTAAGCACAATTCATGTGGAGGTGTCACTTTGCTCATGTTGTTGAGGGAATGACTATTTCCCCCCAATTAATACTTTCATATCTGAAATCACATCACAGCTCCTCCTGCCACAACTTTGGGTAATAGATTGTAATTTATTGTGAAGGCTTGAAAATGAGTGTGAAGATGTGAAGCTTGGTCTTTGCATTTAATCAAATCTTAACTGAGTCAAGATCCAGTTGTTTCAAATAGTGAATAATGATGGTCTTATGATCGAAAGATCAACAGCCAATCCTCCGTCAGCAAAAGCATGTGCTTTAGAGTACAGTTCAGACTAAATTGAAATTCTTTTGTATAAAATGGGACTGATTAAAACTCTGTCTTGTAATGTTCCTTAAATAAATATTTTATCTTATCGAGCAGTTTTATTTGTTTTTAGTGAGATAAAATCAAATCGAAACTTGTGATTGATCAACATGAGATTTAAGCCTCACATTGACAGGAAGGTCTTAAAGGAGCCATTACTGTTTCTGAAAATGGACCCATGACTTTAATGTTGTATGTTGATTGAGTGGTGTGTTTTGTTTTAAATATAGACACTCTGTACAGTAGGAATGCGAGCGGGCTCCTGTTCAGTGCCAGTGTCACATCTTTGCAAATACCACCAGCCTCATTACACCCTGTGTGGGCGTCTCCTGTCTGACATGTTGAGGATGTTTAAGCAGCATCACGGGTGTAGGGAGCTGGCCTTGACAAGATCACAAATTAACAGTGTGCACTGGAGCAGATGTTTGGAGCTGTGTGTGGTACAAACGAGTGGAGACTTAATTCTGTTATAGCCCTGTTCTGCTGATGATCAGGCAGAGTGTGTCTGCTGTGGGCTGGGCAGCCATCAACAAGTCATTTCATTTGGAGGATGTACTGTACATCCACGCCGATAATACTCAGAGCTTAGGGCGAAGGGACAGCATGCGGCTATAACTCATTCAGATTCTCCTGCCCCACTGACAGTTGATGTAATCCAGATGAAATTTACCCTTTTATGAATGTTTTAAATGCCTTTACTTGTTTTATCCAACTAAAAAAACAAACTTTGGACACTAAGTCTTGGTTGAAGAGGAGATGGTGTGGTATAGCATGAAATCCTCTTGTTGTTTAGCTGAGAATCTTCAAATCCAGCTGCACAATATAAAAAAGTGGCAACATGTTTATGGATGTACAGTATAGTTCTTTTCATTTTCCAGACTGTGTGTGTATAGCATTTAAAAATTGGAGTCTTGAGTTAGTCTACCTAAATTATATTGAGTAACTTTAAAACATGGCAGATGCATCTCTATGTAAAATAAGAATATTACTTGTTGGATAATTTTCATCTCAAATGTGTGGCCAGGGTGGAGAGGCTCTGCTGGCTAATTTAAATGTGGTGGGCAAAGAGCAAAATACTAAAGGGAGCACTGGTCACGACACCTGACAAAGAGATGCATAATAATCAGAGCAGTTGATCTGGGGCTCAGTGGACGGTGATTCATGTTTTCCTTGTGACTGTACAGTATGCCTTCGCTTGCTTGCACTCCGGCAGCTAGGATTTTATTTGTAGTAACATCCTAGTATCTACTACATTAACAGACTACATTGTCTGTTTCCTGTACATGACAAATAACCAAGTGCTGGAACAGAGAAAGACGGAGAAGACAATCAATCTAGTGGGCTGCACCACTGACTTGCTGCATCACAACATATCCTGCGAATCAGGCTGCAGCCTCATCCGTCTCCATGGTGACAAAGCTTCCTCAGTACAGAGGAGGAGGAGACAGGGAGCGAGAAGAGAAAATATGGAAAGAGGTGCCTGCTGGTGGAACCGAGGTAAAGCCAGGGGGGTTGAATCAATATCTTCTCCAATTTCGCAATAAGGTTTTAAGCACTGTGGCACTGGTTTGTTTAAAAGAGGCCAGGTGTTCTTTTTGAGGAGGCACGCAGAGGAGACATGGAGGATGCTGGGGAAGGTGCATGGACTGCAAATGCGGGAGAACAATCTGCAGTGACAGTTCCTGAGCCTGGTGCATGGGCTGGGTGGTTGTGCTGAGCTCTTGTCATCTGTCAGGTAAACACGCTTTCTTTTTAACATGAGCATCCTTCAGATAGATGTTACATGAAGGATATGAAGGAATACAGTTGCTAGATTCAAATATTTGAAAAAGAAGTGACGTTACAGATGGAGGAGCTGATGGGATCTGCAGGTGGTTTGTACATGACAGGAGCCTTCATGTGGTTCATTAACTGTATAAATCTGTGTGTTTGCTTTAAATGGACAACTAAGACTAACTGATTTCACGATGGATACATAAGGGCAAGTATAGGAAACATACACTTCACTATAATCAGTCATTTCCATGCTTTACTGTACTGGCAATGCTGTAAATGTGAGCTGTAATAGGCCTACCCAAATGCTCAGTTGTCTCACTTTTGCTAAAATAAATATTATTTTTATGTCTTGGACTCCTGATAATGTTTTAAGTCTATTATGGTATGATCAAATGGCTTGTAACTTGTAAGATTTGTATGACACTCTTTAAACAAGGCATGATTTATGATTAATTATATATTGTAAATCTAATCAGACACTGATAAAGAGGAAGATTTCATGAACAAAAACACATTATAACTGTCTCAGGAGGAAGTCTCAAAAAATCCTGCTGACCACATCCCCCTGATGTCAGCTGGTTTATTTCTGTTCTGCCTGAGACACCACATTTATCAGGATATTATATTTGTGTCAGACCTGCTGTTCTATTACTGTCACAGAGCTCTGTTTTGTCACGTTAATAATAGGCTCCATCGACATATCCCACATTGGATCTTTCTTTACAACTATAGCTTTTTGGATACTACAACCTAGAGGGGATTTATTTGTCTAAACCTTGAAGTAGAACACTATCGCCTTCAAGTGGTTCTGATACCTTCACATTCCCCTTTATTTTTCAAAATGTTTGGGTGTGTTACTATACTTTACTGGTAGAAATTGCCTGAAATATGAATGGTCAAAATAGTTGTTCGGTCCTACAGAAGACATACATGATGTTTAATGTCTGTAGGAAAAGGCAGTTTTGAGAGGGGTCTGGAAGAGTGGTGACTACCAAATGAGGTGCCGGTGTTTTGCTTAATATTCTTGCTTCCACCAAGACTGTGCTGAAAGGCAGCCATTTTAGGGTCTTGAGTCTGATTTAGGCACCAGTGTGGACACTTGTATATGCCCATAATTGTTTTGTTGTTCACTGTAAATTGATATATCTCCATTTATTTTTTTGTGTAAGAAGATAGATACAAGTACAACTATACACTCTAAACAGTCCATCATTATTCAGTGTTGTAGCATTGAGTGATAGAGACTATAAACATCTCCAATTTTAATAAGTCTATACTATGAAGGGTTCCTTACTATGCCTTTTTGTTGGGAATTTTCTTAGTTTATTCACATGGTGTGAGTTGTATGCTTTGTTCAGTAGATGTAACCAAAACAAAAGCGTAGCAGGAGCAGGTGAATGTTTTGTTTTCGAGTGCTGATCTTATAAAAGCTCCACTAAAACCTGTGGCTTAAGTGGCTGAAGGCCATGCATTATGAATGTACTGGATAACACACACACACTTCTGTTACAGACAGGAATATGATACCCATTCTTATATTCTTAAAACTGCCTCTCTCTTAATTATACCAATTACTGTGCTGGCGTGTACTTTTTCTTATTTTAGTGCACATAGTAAGTGTGCAAAAGGATTAAGTTAAACACACATCCCAGCCCCATTGCATATAACATTTGCAACTATCATTACCAACTTGGGTGTAAATTAAAAAAGAAGAAGAAGAAGAAGAAAGCATTCATACATATACAAGGATCTTTGAAGAAATAACATTTTCAAACAATGCAATTGTTATAAAATTCATGATTTAGGTTTTTGAGTTCAGTTTATTTATTTTAGTTATTTAGTTTCAAAATCGAGATACTGTTCAGTTCTGTTAAACTTGTCAAGAGGTTTTAGAGGAAACTGAAAATTGAACTGCTTAACCAATACAGGAAGCGTGCAAGAACATGTTTGTAGATGTCTAAACTGCAGAGTTTACCAGGTTTATAAATATTTAAAAGATATGCTGTTGTTTTAGAGGAAATTATCTCCCTTTGAATTATTGCAGACTTGATTTGAGAATAAATGTTTCAGACCTTTGTTGGATGTCTAGAGCATTCCAGTGTCACATAATTAAACTTGTGCAATGTTTTATTGCAATCACTCTTACGTTAATGTACCTCATATTAATTCACATCTGCCATGTGAGCCCAGTCTGGGGCCATTTTTTGCTCCCAATCGAAATCTCACTTCAACAAGTTTATCTCTGAATTAAAGTAGATGATTTCATTCATAAGGTGACAGTGTACTATCATTAAGGGTAAGTGTGCAGACTGTCAGAGCAAGGATTTAGGTTGGTGGAGGATTTAAGCGAGGCCAGTGGATTACCTGGTAATAGATCGAGTGGGCTGGAGGACATACACAGGAAGTGTTGTCTTGGACGTGGGTCAGAAAAGGAGGGGTTAATCCTTGAAGCGACATTTTCCACAGTGATTCATTAATTCTGTTGGAAACTAACCTTTAAAAACCCACTTTCTTGTCATCTTTTTAGGTGTGGATCCCAATGACTCCTGTCTATCTTTTTGACCATGTTAGTCAGGTCGTGACTTGAACCATCAGGCTCCTCTTGTACTCCTCACGGTGTGGACCAAAACATAAAGACAACCATGCTGATAAAGGAGTATCGCATCCCCATGCCCATGAGCGTGGAGGAGTACCGCATCGCGCAACTCTACATGATTCAGGTAGGTGATTTTATTCTTATAACATTAGACACTATTATTGGAACAGGGATCATTTGTGCAGGATGTACAAATTGTTTGGATGGTTTGTGTGGATGCGGGTAGGTTCATAGTTAGTAGTGTCATAGGGTACCAGAACAAGAGGACTGGAGAAAGGGTCAGTGATCTTGTGTTGTTCTGCAAGCCAGCTGGTGCTCCATATGCCATGTGGATTATATATTATTTGATTTCATAACAGTTGTTTCCAAGCACAGACAGACGTCTATCTGCTGTTGTGATGTGTTTTGGAGGTTCGAATGAGCAGTTTGCTTGCTTAAGGTTATTGTTGAAAATATTCTGGCATTTGGCAGCAGCATAAATATTCATGTAATACATCACCAGAGCAAAAGTATGTGTATTTTACTGTAGTGCAAGTTTTCATCAATTGACCCTAACATTACAAATGCATAATGTATTTGTATATCACTGACAGATAATTTGACTGGTACCTCTGTATTTTTTAAACAGATTGATATCATTCCCCACACCCATTGCGTCTCAAGCCTGGCCAAACATTATCGTTTTTGTCAGTGATGCATGTGAAATGAAGGAGCTCTTTGGTCACCTATGATTTACAAATGAAATAAAATGTATTTCACAGAGATTACCCGAGTGCCAGAAAAAAAATAATATTAAAAGTCTGAAAACTTGCTCAGGGCTAATCAGAAACATGGAAACAAATGGCCACAAAAACAATAATTTTATTTAAAATCTGTTTTTGAAACTTTTTAAACCACCATTTTATTAACATTAACTATTTTATTAAATTAACATTTAGCAGAAACTTGTGTTTTAAATGTGGCCTCTGCGATGCCTTTGAACTCTTAATGTTTGAAATTTTCAAAAAGTGAATGGGACCTAAATTTTTTCACCACCAAATTTGTTTTTAAATATTTTCAGCAGTATAGCATGTGCATATCCAGACCCACATGCTTAAACTGTGCTCCATTTGTTCAGCCTTCACTGTCTCAGCCATCAATGCTAAACGCTGCCATAATCTTTTGTGTATGTTGTGAAAATTATGTATTATGGGAAGCATAGAGTTATTTAATCCTAACACTAGGAGTAGGGCTGATCAATTAAGACATTAAAATAATAATCATCATTATTTAAAGTTAAACTGAAATCCAGATTATATAAACTATTATTTTCTTATAGATAGACTGTTGTTTATGTAGCTGAACCGTACAATCTGTGAACAACTTTTCCACTCAAGAAAAGTATGTATTGAATGCAGTTGAAGAGTTAACAATAATATGGATTAGTAGATTACACATTTTTTTAAATTGTTGTGAGTAGTGAGAAATACGGTTATTTGCATAGCCCTTGATCCCTAATGAGGAGCTGAACATTTTACCTCATGTTCCTTAGGGATTACATTGTGCATTGCAAAGTCATTTTCACTCATTATTTCACTAAACATCTACGATTACCTGACCTTTAATGAAAATCATAAACAGGAGGGGTGATCCACCTTTTTAGTGAGACTGTAGTTTTGAGGAGTGCAACCCAGATAGATGCTAACCTTGTGGTGTCATATAAATTATTCAGGGCCAGTGCAGCCCAGGAGGAACATGGTCCTCAGAGGAATCAGCCACATTACCATTCAACATGAGAGGACCACACTGTTCCAAGCAAGCCCATTTTGTGATTTCTTATTAAGTATATTTTAATGATTTTAATTTTTGCTACTGGGATAGTAATAACAATATTTTTGTACACATTTTCCATATTTGTGTTCCTCAGTTTTACCAAGGAATACAATTTCTACTTGGATACTAGATAATAGACATATGTTAACAATAATAAAAATAATTCTGTCATAGACACACAAGTTTGTGTGTATCTATAAGTTTGTTAAAAGTAGCGCCTGAACCAGATCTGACAGTTGTAGACTATATTATATTTCCTATATGTGTAACATGTTCCAAACATTTTCAGTACCTTTTCTTGACTATGGCAGATTCAAACATTCGCTGGTTTGTTTTTTTGTGAAGTCACTTGATGAGTTCTGACACATGGATGACAAGTTTCAGAAGAAATTGTATGGAACTGCAATGCAGTTTTACCTTGTGTCAACAGGTAATTACATAGTAGTTGTAACAATGCTGAAAGTGTGTCCAAATTCTACCTCTTTAGATCAACATTTAATCTTTTTAATTAAGGAAGTATAACGTGAGTAATGTTTTACAGAGTTGTATCTTTTTATATTATAAAATAATGAACACTCTGGATAAAACCAGCTTTGAGTTCAATGGATTTTAGTGTGTTTTTTTCTGACTCCTCAAAAGTGAAGTGCTCTTCTCAGCAGCATACACAGCAGCATCCTCTGTGCACAAGCGTATTGAGTTGACACAGAAAAATCGAATGTTATTCCTGTGAGACTGACCTACTGTAGTTACTATGCTGACAGCAGGACTGCACATAGACAGTTTGATTATGTTAAGCCTGATGGAATATGTTACTTTAGCAGACAAGAACTTGCAATTGCATTTTGTTGAAGCTATCATGAAGTAAGGTGAACTACATAATACTTAAAGGTCCTTAAGTTGGTACTTGACTTCTTTATGACAGTGGACTCTGGGCCATTGCCACTAAAACCCATCTCTGCTCCATACCACTGCAGAACAGATGCAGGCTTGTAGATGCTGATTTGAGGCTCTCAGCTCCTCACCTAAATTACATTACCTGCTCAATTACAGACATTTTCCAGCAGTTTGCCTCCTCTGACCTTCATTACAGATATCAGCTCCCTCACATCGTACTGAGAGGGGCTCTGTGTTCAATGTTAAGTCTCATTCTTGACCTGGAGCATCCCACACTCGCTTGCTGTTAATAATGATCAGGCTCATCTGTATTCATACTGCTCTGTTCCTCGACCTCTTGTCCATTACAGTACAGGAGTGAAACAGCTTTTCACTCAGCTCTTAGCAAACAGGAAACAAGGTCCATTGTCATATAATTCTCTCTAATTCTCTCTGATCTCTGCACCAATTGCTCCAACAAGATACAAACACAGTGAGTAATAAGTAATCACATGACATCACAATGGCTTCAGAAATGGGCACCCCTATTCAACGCTCAAAATAAATAATTAAAAAAGATACAGAATGTTTATGGAGCTTCCTCACAAATAATGATAAGGTTAAACATTTATGGAGTTTGGTTATTTCTTCTAAAAATAATACATCTCTCATAGTTATATAGTCCACTGCCTTACATCTGAATTCTTGACAACACAAACAGCTACAACAATGCAACTTCTATATGTATTACCGTGGTATTATGATTTTCCATTTGTACTGTCCTGTTCAGAATGAAATTAATACGACCAGAAAAAAACTGGGAAAATCTTGTCCCATGAATGTATAAACTGATGAGTGAATGAATGAGATTCCTTATGCCCATGGAAACATTATTCTAGTCTACTCTTATCATATGGCAGGTTGCATAATCTTATAGAGCTCCGGACCCCACGTGACTCACGGTGGGCGGGCCGCCATTTTGGCAGTAAAAATGGATAGCACCACCGCTGAAGCTTTCAAGCCATCGGAGTACTCAGGTCACTTTAATTCACAAGACATTGAGGTTTAGATCAAAATTAAATGGATTAAACATTATGACCGTATAATGCCCCAGGGGTGTTTTTTAAAAATATTTCCGCTGAAGAAGACGTCCCAGATCCGCAGTACATCGCCAAACGAACCAAAATTGGTCCGATTGACATGCCTCTGTTTCCTGGTAGAACAGCAATACCTCCAATTATCAACACCGATGTTCCCTGTTAAGACCACGGGACATCCTCATCTCAAGAGTCATCATGAACTCGTAAAACACAAAAGCACGGGTAACAGCAGCAGCAACAGCAATAAAGAGGAGCACTCACCGGTCACCGCAGCTCAGATCCCTCAGGACGGGGTCTGCGGTCTGGTCCTCCATGTGCTGGTTCCAGACCAGTGCTTGATGGACTGGGTCTGAGCCGTTCCGTGTCATCGTCTGCACGCTGGTTCCGTGCGGGAAAAGCGAGAATGCACTGTGGACTACAGGTTTGGACAGGCCACTCTGGTCCTCCGCGCTCAAGAACTGCGGCTGGTCCCGAGGTGATGCAAAGCATCCGGACAGGCGTGAATCCAATTTGGTGGGCTATATGTTGTTCTGAGCGTCCAACCTCCGAGCTCTTGGTTCCTGGGGAACGTTCTTGTCAGGCCAAGGCTCCTGACACCACTCCCCGCTCCAGCTCCTCTGGTTTGGATCTAGTCCAACTGTAGCATTTCTCACACTAGGCTAAAAGCAGGACATTTTTAAAGTTGAATCAATTGAATATGGCTATTGCCATAAAATTATTTGGTTAATTATAAGCCTAAAATAACAAATGCTGGTTGCTACTTTGGAGCCACACGTTCGCACATTGGTTCTTGCTCTGATCTTTGTGTATTACTTATCTGTATTGGAAAATTGTTGGCAAAATAATTCGGAAATGAATCGCGGCTGCGTCTGGAGAACAATCTGTTATTGCGCTGGAGTCGTACAGCGCGAGTCAGCCGATCTGCCGATTACTGCCAAAATGGCGACACCTAGTGCCTGGAGAGCCGGTATGATGTCAGCTCCCGGAGCTCTATAGTGTTAAGGTTGGCGGCATACTTTAAAAAATGTAATCCTGGTTTTGGTTCTGGGAATAATAGCTTTTGGGTGTGTCCTCTTCTTAGAGTCTTCTTATTTTTTCTGTTGAAGGGGGTCCCATATGAGCCTTCTTACCCTTGGCACCAAGCAAGATTGTTTATGGACCTACTTATTAGTAGATAAATTGGAATTAATATGTGTGACTGCTAAGTTTAGGAAATATCAAGTAATAAATGTTATTGGAATTATTTACTCCCCTCCACTCAACCATGGACAGCTTTTTATGCAGTCATGGTATGTTTACAAACTGATATCATCCTCTGTCTGTGAGCTTAGACAGAGTG